CTCTCATTGACTTTTTGACAACAACTGACTTACTTCACAAATTCTGATACCTTCAGCCCTTTCTACTTCAATCTCTTGCTACCCTCTACCCCCGTACTATCCCCTGCCCCGCTGTTTTCTGTAACCGGCTGATCATCCCTCCTCCCTTCTGCCATCCAATACCCTCGCTTCCTTCCCTACCCTGCAGCGCTGTATAGCCCTTGTGGCTTAGCGCTTCTTTTTGATTATAATAATAATAATTTTATTTGGTAAACCATTCAAAATCACCTCCTATTTCTGTAACATATCTTCCATTCTATCAAATGAGACCAAGAAAATGCGAATACAACCATAAATACCATACAAAAATACACCGAAAGTGGCTGTTTTAAACCAAAAACACTGTTTTTTTTCTCATGCACTGTTCAGTGCACGATTTTTTTTTTCATACTGCACACTGACCATGCAGACCCATTCTCTCGTATGAAGGCCTACCAGCTTTCTCCTAGAAGATTTGAAGCTGCTAGAATTTTGGCATAGTATTACGGGACCGACACTGGTTTCAAAGCCATTATATTACGGCACCAATACCAAAAGGGTTAAGATACATTATATGCATTTTATAGCAGGTTTGGGTCTTCACTTCTCATTGTCCATCACATTAAACACTGGTTATGTCACACTTTTGGTAAGCAAACTCCTGCAAGGGAGATCACTTGGCATGGCATGGAGCTCTTGTTCCAAGGAATCAGATCTATTGTCCTCTTCCTTGGATTGAATCTAATTTCTCCTACACCCCCCCCCCTTTATATTAATGGTATACAGTATCAAGTTGATGATACCTAAGATAACCAGGTGTTACAACATATCTTGTTCATCTTCTTCCTTCATTTTTGCCCCCCTATTGGGAAAATTTTTCCCTTGTGAAATTTAGGTTCTAGGCAGAAAGGAAAGGGATCAAACTGCCTGCAGATCTTTGGTAGCAGCCATAGGTGTAAGACTCCTAGAGTTTCCAACTGGCCAAATGGCAACAGCAGTTAATGCTTTAGTCTAATCAGGTGGTTTTGCTAAGCCTAGCTCAGTCAGTTCTGGAGGTTCCATCCTAGTATGCCAGCTGGAGTAGGAGGGAGCATTAGTGCCAAGGTTGATCATGAGTCAGGGTGTGATGGGTATGTTTTTTTTTATATCGTATATCCTCGGTGCTCCCCTTAAAAAACTCTTGATTATTTCATAAATGAATTGTTACATCTCTGTCAACTCAGTACCCTCTCTAGATACTTGACCAGTCATCCATTAATTTATTCTGTATCTGTATGGTTCCCCAATTCTGATATGTACTACAGTTAAATTTCTAGTCCTCTTCTATTGTCAAGTGTCATGGGAGCCCCAAATCTCTGAAAACTCTTAACTGGCAAAACCCTCCTTAGACTTCATACAGACCTAACTGTATCAAATTTAGACGATGTAGATCAAGTATATTCTCAAATCTCCAGCTACACACAAGAAATTCTCTGCCATCAAGCATACATTACTGTCTGACAGCTCTGATCTAGACTGGTTGAGAGTTTGTATGCAAAAGCAAATATCCCCTCTTTGCAGGTCTCAAGCCCAGTTCCTTCAGTATTTTGTCTGCCACCATGGTCTTTCTGAGCCTCATACATATAGAATGATCAGATAAACTGTTAGTAGTTGACCTTATTTGTTGTAATCCATTAGCCTTAGAGTTCAAAATTTAGCTGTCATTCTTACTTCCCCTTCCCATCCTCTGTCAGTCTTGTGCTTTTCCTTGCCTCCTTAGGAAGTTCTAGCAATTCAAGCTTTCTCTTTCTCCTCCTGCCAATTTTTAATTGAATTCCCATGATGTAGACTGATGGCTCCAGTTCTCAGATGTATGAAAGTATGCAACCATCTTTCCAAGGCCATTTAATAAAACTGGCCAGAATTTTCAAAATAGAGCTAAATGGCATTCTCATTGGTATAGTACACATCACAACCTCTCCCACCTCTGCATTCATGGTTTTTGACTTTCAAAGTACATTACAAGCTATTGTACAGTCTACAACACTGGTAATGATAAATTTCTAGTAAGAACAAAATTGATCTTTGCTGCTTGGTCTGCTGTTTATGATTACTGATTTTCTAGTATTGTTCCAGTCTCCAACACTGTTGGTCTGAATTAATAAATTAACTTCCATCAAACCACAAATTAGGCTCCTCCAATTCACACGTCTATGAATTGGAGGCAGGCTTCTCGCACATGGATGCTGTATGGAGAGGCACCTGCATCCCACTGCCAGGATTGCAGGGTACCTTTTAACAGTTAATCGTGCACTAACACTAAGTCCTATTAATAAGCATGCTGAATTTACTTCGGACAACTGCAACACTGACATCTTTTCTGATAGTCCCAACTTTGACACCGACTGACTTTTTGACAGAGTGACTTGACTGCCCAAACTTGGACTTAAATATATTTTTTTTTTTTTTATCCTCACCTCCACCCAGTACCCTACCTCCACTAACCTCTTCCCTCATACATTACTTACAATGCTGTATGGCCAATACAAGTTTAGCACACTTACATCACTCCATGTCTCTGGTTCTCCTATGTCAGTCTCCTTTCTCATGTGTCTATTTGATTAATAAATCCCCTGGTGGGTAAAATGTTTCTCAAATATGATACCCAAATGTTTCATATATCTTATTGATCATTCTTTATGAAAAACTATGGTTGACTTGCAACATATAAAACAGCAAGGATTTTGGGGAGGGGAGGGGGGGAAAAGCAGGGAGCCAACTTGTGGTATACTTGAGTACTGGTGTATATGGCATTGCATTTACATAAAGAAATGGACATGCAAAGCAACAACACAAAACAAGTGTATAAAGCAAATACCGGGTATTTGCAAGCATAATTTGAAAAGCTGGAAACTTTCTTGAGACTTCTTAATCCCTTTGCTACATATAAGATTTTAAATACTTCCTTTTTGTGTGTAACATTTTTCAACATTTACATTGTGGAAAATACAAGCAATCTACCATATATCTTTTAATGAATGATGGCTTTCTTTTACATATTGTTTGCTGTGCTACATAGGGTCATGAATGGTACATTTATGCACACTGATACTTGAAGGGAGATGCCTTGAAGATGAAGGGCTCTTGATGCAAGGAATTGAAGCTACCCTCCCTTGGATCAAATCCTATAATCCCCAGTTCCCCTGAGGATAATGACAGTGGACACTTATTAATCTGAACTGATCAGTCAGATTATGAAGAATTTTTTATTCCCTATTTTGCTCAAGGTGAGTTTATTACTTTCCCATGACTATATCAACAATCCCTTCAAGGGAGTACTTGATATTGGTGAAGTGCTCTTGATTCAAGGATTTAATTACCCTTGGATCAAACCTGATTACCCTGTAAGGGAGGTTCCCTGATAATGATAAAGGACTCTTGATGAAAGGAATTAGACCTGTTCCACTGGATTGATTCTGAATTCTTCCCATTTCCTTGGTGCTGCATGATGACCCCCCCCCCCCAAAAAAAAAAAAAAAAGTTTAGTGCTCTTCTATAAATATAATGAACCTGTTTAAATTTCATTTCACAGATTTTGCATGACTTGGGTGTAATGATTTCCCAGAAATATGAAAATTAATCTATGGGTTGCATAGTGAGGGATAAACAAAACCAAGGAAGAAGAGGGTAGTTTCAATTCTTTGCTTTACTAGCCCTTCATTGACATTAAAGCATTACCAATAAGTACTAAACTGTGGAAAAAAATAAGTTGTGCATATGCAGTAAAATCTCTCATTAAGAGACTAATAGGGAGGAAGGGGTGTATGATAATGATTGGTTTCATAGCTTGGGAGTTGTGGATTATCATTCATTATCGTCCTGTTGTCTTCTAAAGTAGTGGGCTTGGTCCTGAACACTAGGAATACGGGTGTTGTAACCTGTGGTACTACATTACAGTTCTGTACTGTATAGTAATTCTGTAGTACTCTACGTAATTTGTGGTAATTTTATTTAGCTTTTTATGGTGGAGAGATTTGTAAACTGCTGTGACTGATAGTGGTGACTCAATAACTTTTATTCTGAATCAGAGCTGTAAAGCTCAACTAGTGAAAATAATGTAGATGGCTGAGATTTAGATTTCTGAGAACTACACTTTTTTCTTGGCACCATCACTTGCTTTAGAAGCCACTGTAAACTGCACCTTTATTAATATATTAAGTCACACAAAATGCCCTAAATCCAGGGAAAATAAGAAACTGAATGATTAGTGTATGCATGAGTGAGAATAAACAATTAGCTGGTGAAAGTGGCCTACTTGGTCCAAGACTTCAGAAGACAACCAGATACTATCATTACCAACAAAATGCAGAATTAGTCTTTTCTCCATCTTGTCTGATAGCATTTGTCAAGTTTTTTTTTTTTTGTTCAGAATTACTGAAATCAGTTAATCTGAGGTTTTACTGTATACAACTCTTGGCATATTATCCATTTTGAAGAATAAATTTGTTAGGGGACTAATATAAAAGATGAGACTTCTGTATTTGTTTAGCAGATATTTTGAAGTTGTGTGTGTGTCACAGTAGCAAAGAGATTATTAATGTCTTTAAAATTTCATGCCAAAAACTAAATACAAGATTTTTATAGTGGAAAGGCTGACAGCACTGCAAATGCATAAGCCATGCATGTAAAATTTACATTACTTACTAATTATAAGTTCAAAAGCCTGTAGTGTGCCATAAGACAGATTTGGGAGCTTACAGTAACTTAAGTAGATATAGCTGAGAAACATTAGCATTAATTATACTCATAAAATTAAAGCATTTGTGATCATACTTACTACAGTAGGAAAACAATCACAATGACAAGTGATACACATTAATATTGTGCATAACAAGCAGAAGCTATAAATTTCTTCAATTTCAGAATCAATGCAAGGTGACAACACTGAATCATTGTGTTTGTTGAAAGTGGAGGACACAAAAAAGGAGGCATGGCACACGTACGTCAAGCAGGGATCCTGTGAGATTGTAGTTACACCTCACCTTCTTCATATCATTTTGACCCCCAGTGTTATTTACCACCTCAGACTTGATGAGTGTAGACAGCAAGAGGCTCTGGTCAATATTGGTCTCCTCCACCTTGATGCCATTTGTTCGAAGCTTAGTCTCCAACTCCTACAAACATAAAGGCTAATATAAAATGCATACATTTTTATGGTATAGTTCTATCTAAAAAAAAAAAATCCATTTAATGTGTGTATTGGGTATCAGTTAGGATTCTTGGAATTTAAATTCTTATACTGTACCTATTTTTAGCTTAGTGCATTTAATGCATAAAGCTCAATGATCTAAGGATGGAAGTTTCAGTCATTCCTTGATCAATCCTCATTACCTCCTATTCTTCATGCAATGTATGAGCAAAAGAGTTAGCATTTCCCACAAACAACTGCACCCAGGAACTGCACTGATATCCATAATTTTTATTTTTACCAGTGCTAAACCAATGTAGAAGAGTTGAGCTACTACATGTAAAAAAAAAATTTAAACTATAATAATGAATTTTGAACTTTTATTGTTTAGTACCGATTTTGTTAGATTCCTGAAGTTATAATAATATGATACCAAATGCAGTCTATCCTGCCTCCCTGCTATCAACAGTTGAGGTTTCCTCGTCTTGATACATAAAGCTAATAAATAACACCTTGGTAATACCTCTGGATATATGTTATTGCACAAGTTCGTGTAAAGCGTTTTCACAAGACTCGTCAGAGACTAAAAATATTTGTAGGTTACAATGGACTCAGGATATTTGAAAGTCTTCTTACAGAGGCAAAATGTAACTTCGAGCTGGGCTGCCAAACTGAGTAAAATTGATACTTCAGAAGTATCTCAGACAGATATATGAATAGGAGTGGCTGTTAAATAGAAATGTCAATTGCTATAGGAACCTTCATCCCTGTGACCAACCCTCAGACCCAGCCTCCAAAACTGGAAATATTAAAGCAATATAAAGTACAGTGGACCCTCATTTTTCATAATTCGTTTCAGAGAACGTGGCTATTATCGAAATTGACAATTTGCGAATCCATTTTCCCCATAAGAAATTATGTAAATCCAATTATATAATTCATTCCAGACACCCAGAAGTATCAAAAAAATTTTGTCTTTTACCTTAAAGATAGATTTACATGCACAAAAGAATGAACATTCAACATGACAGTTACCTTTATTGAAGGCTGTTGTTGATGAATGGAAGACAGAGAGGAGGAGAAAGGGAGGAGAGGTTAGTGTTTGGAAGGGGAATCCCCCTCCATAAGGACTCTAGGTCACTTCAGGGATCACTTCCCTAGCTTAAATATAGATTTAAGTTAAGAATGAGTGAAGATCACTCTGCTATATGATGTTATTGCAATCATTCAGCACATTAAATCTTAGTGAAGTATCATGTGTAGGGTCATGCATCAGCCAGAGAAGCTGACCTCTTCTTGAGAAGTGAAATTCCAGTGAGTCAGTATAACCCTATAGGGAACAAGTTGGCTGCAATCAAGGACAGTAGAACCCCCGTATCTGTGGATTAGGTTTCTGCGGTTTCAGTTTCTGTGGTTTACCTTGGCTCAACAATATTAAGGAGGTTGCAGTCTGAGGTTTCATTATCCTTTTTCATTCATTTTTTTGCTGTTTTAATAAGTGTATAAAACATGAACATATAAAGTTTCATTAAGATCAGTCAACAAACAAATAAATAAAAAATATATACTGAAAATTAGATTTGGCAGCAAACAGGCACATATTGACACTACCAAGTCATCGTCATCGTCTTGGCGGCGGCAGCAGCAGCAGTATTTGTGGTTGGGGAGGGGGGTGGAGGAGGTGTATATTTTATTATTTAATGTTGGAAATGTCTTATTGTGCCTAATTTATAAATTAAACTTTATCATAGGTATGTATGTGGTGGTGGTGGTGTCATCACCATCAGTGTTTTGGGTGGGTGGTTGGATTTATACTTATTTCATACCAGTGCGTTGTTGATGTGTGTTCATCTCGCATTAGATTTCCATCAGCAAAGGTACAACTAATTAGATTCTATCTGGTATGTCATTCACATAAACAAAGACAACATTGGTCCTAATACCAACTGGTGGTAGTTGGTGGTGGACAAGGAGGAATGTATTTTACATTTATTTAATATTGGTAATGTCTTACAGTGCATAATTTATCAATTAAACTATCATAGGTATATATGTAAATGAAAAATGACTTGTATATAAAGTTCACTACTACCAGCGGTTTCGGACATCTGTGGTAGGTTTTGGAACATATCACCCCCTCCTCCCCATGGACATGGGGGACTACTGTACTTCTAATGCCAAACCAGTTTAGCATCACTTGCATAAGATCACAGCATGGGTTATTTAACCAGCTTGCTCTATTCCTGGCCATGTAACCTGTCAGGCTATCATTTACAGAATGCCTGAAAAAATCTACCAACCCAACTAGGTATGGTGGTAAACAACTACCCAGAAAGATACTCAAGTCCTGTTAAATTTGCATGATTGCTACTCTTTTCTTTCTCTTGTTAACAGTAAGTTGATAGAAATTCTTACAAACTTCTGCTGTACCTATGTTTGGAATATTTTACATTTGCCTCTAATTTACTCTATATTCTTAATAGTTCTTATCCCTGTAGTAATTTCAATTTCCTTTACAAAAGTGGGCTAGAATTATTTCCTTGTAAGCCATGCATGTTGCAGAAGGCAACTAAATTGCACACAAAGGGTTGGTAATACTCTTTTTCTATGAAATTACCAATGTAATAGTAATAAAATTAACCTCTTCTCCTAAAGTTAAAAAGAGAAACTTTCGTTTTGCTTTTTGGGGTACCTCGCTTTGGTGGGATATGGCTGGTTTGTTAGAAGTACAACGGAGACTTGGTATTCAAACAGCTCCCTTCTCGTACAGTTCGGTATTCGAACACTTTGTTCGGTAAAAAAATTGCTCAGTAGCCGACCATTTGCTCAGCACTCAACCAAACCAACACAACCTGCCAGAACTTCGCTGCATACTATTTCATGTTTCTTCACTTTTTTTTTTGTTATTTGTATAAACAAGTTACCATGGGGCCTAGAAGATTAGTGATAACAGCAAACCAAAAAGAAAATTGGTTGGGAAAAATTTGTTCAATACTCTAACAGATCGGCCCTCAAACAGCCTTCTAGAATGAATTAAGTTCGAGTACCGAGGTTCCACTATAATAAAATTTCATCAATCTAGTCAATGTCATACCTGTATTCTTAAATGAAGCTGTCGATTTTGTTGTTCTAGGGCTCTTCGTTTAGCTTCAACTTCTTTGTTGTACTCTATATCAAGTTTAAGTCTTCGTATGTAATCAACCGAGGCCTTCAGAATCTGTCCTTTGTTATGTCGGAGATCCCGAACAAGCTCAAAATACCTGAAGACAATACAGGTAAATGACATGACGCAAGTTTATCTGTAATTGTACATAGTAAATCTGCAGATACAAAGATTGACAAAACAGACATGCACAGTATATACATATATACAAGTGTACAAACTGCAAAATAAGTTAGAAACCAGACACAATATGTAGTTTATTTAGAAGACATTTTGTCCACCAGGGCTGAAACGTATTTAAATAAAATGCTATAAACTGCATATTGTCCTACTAATAATATCACTGATATACATGCAGAGGTAGTGCAGTCTTTGCACAAAAACTGAAGTACGTAAAATAGAAAATCTGAAGACACCCTATTCTTCCCTCCTTGCTGATGGACACACCTGTGACTCAGAATCCCTCATTCACTGCTTGACAGCAACTGATTTACTACAAACTTTGATACTTCCTCTAGCACTCCTCACAGCCCTTTCTAACTATGTTTTCCACTTCACCCTGCTGTGCTGTATGACCCTTGTAGGTTTAGTGCTTTTTTTATGATAATAATGAAGACATCCTACAAAATGGCTTTTTAGAGTTAAATAGTTAATGAAAAAATAAAAATACTGAAAATGCCATTAATGGTGTATGAAAAAAAGAGAAAGTATGATAGTATAAGATTATAATCAAATAAAGTACTAAACCAACAAGGGTCTAAATAAGATAAATAGATATAAGAAAGTAGATGCTGTATAACCCTTGTCCCACCAAGGCAGGGTGGCCCAAAAAAAGAAAAACTTTCATCATCATTCACTCCATTACTGTCTTGCCAGAGGGGTGCTTTACACAACAGTTATAAAACTGCAATATTAACACCCCTCCTCCAGAGTGCAGACATGGTACTTTCTATATCCAGGACTCAAGTCCGGCCTGCTGGTTTCCCTGAATCCCTTCATAAATGTTACTTTGCTCACACTCCAACAGCACATCAAGTATTAAAAACCATTTGTCTCCATTCACTCCTATCAAATATGTTAACTCATGCTTGCTGGAAGTCCAAGCCCCTTGCACACAAAACCTCCTTTACCCCCTCCCTCCAACCTTTCCTAGGCTGACCCCTACCCTGCCTTCCCTCCACTGCAGATTTATACACTCGAAGTCATTCTGTTTTGTTCCATTCTCTCTACATGTCCGAACCACCTCAACAACCCCTCCTCAGTCCTCTGGATAATAGTTTTGGTAATCCCGCACCTCCTCCTAACTTCCAAACTATGAATTCTCTGCATTATATTCACACCACACATTGCCGTCAGACATGACATATCGACTGACTCCAGCCTTCTCATTGCAACATTTATCACCCGTGCTTCACACCTATATAAGAGTGTTGGTATAACTATACTCTCATACATTCCCCTCTTTGCTTCCACGGGCAAAGTTCTTTGTTCCACAGCCTTCTAAGTGCACCACTCACACTTTTCCCCTCATCAATTCTATGATTCACCTCATCTTTCATAGACTCATCTGCTGACACGTCCATTTCTAAATATCTGAATACATTCACCTCCTCCATTCTCTCTCCCTCCAATCTGATATCCAATCTTTCATCACCTAATCTTTTTGTTATCCTTATGATCTTACTCTTTCCTATAGTATTCACTTTTAATTTTCTTCTTTTACATACCCTACTAAATTCATCCACCAACCTCTGCAACTTCTCTTCAAAATCTCCCAAAAGCACAGTGCCATCAGCAAAAAGCAACTGTGACCTTTTCAAATAATTTTTATTGTTTAATAATGTTGGATATAATATCCGAACATTAATTAGTTTATATTGGCAGTACCAACAATTCTGTCAACCAGTCACCATTGTCATTACAAGCTGTGCTAACTCATTCATGAAAACATTCTTCACTTTTCTGTTTACAACATCTGAGTTACCTGATATCATTTCTGCCCAGGAGAGAACTTTTTTCCGCAACTGTACATGATTACAAGAAAAGGCCGATTTGGCGAGCATATACACACAAAGAAATTAATTACTTGTATAAAAGTATAGTTAATGTTCATCTTTGATTCATAACTTTCGAAAGATACTTGGGTTCAACTCTGTATGTTGTACACAGCAGACTTTTAATCAGTATTCAGACAATCTTGCACACATGACAGTACATATAAGGGACTATGCAGTTGACCTGAGGCTTTGTGCTATACATTTAGGCACACTGGCACTAATTGGAAAAAAAAAAAAAAAAGCCCTTTTTCACTACTTACGGTTCATTGCTTTTGGGTAGAAGTGTAGCAAGCTCCTTTATCCTATCATTAATATTAAATCGTCTTCTTCGTTCAACTGGAAAATGAATGAAAAGAGAAATCGTAAAAATTCCAGTACCAATAGCAAATGTTGCTGCCAATACAGGTTAATACCACTATATTTATTCCACATACTGCTGTATATACATCTATGAATTTATTCATGTAAATAAAAGTTATGGAAAAGGGTTGTCTGGTTGTCTTCTGAGGTACTGAGCCAAGTCCACTAACTCTGATGTTTGTTGTCCAGTAAGGGCCAAAGTAGCCTCATCCAGGACCTGTCCATTTTCATCATTCCCTGAGCCATAGGCCACCTGTCCAGTTTATTGTTTGTGCTCTCTATCACTACATTTGTCATTCCATTCAGTCTCTAATTTTCCCCTGGATTAAGAACATTTTTTGTGATTTTATTAACATATTAAGTGCAATTAACAATGGATTTTAAAAAGTGGTGGTGCCAAGAGAAAAAGTATGGTTCTCAGCCATCTACATCTCAGCCTTCTACATCTATATTACTTTCACTAGTAAAGCAATACAGCTCTTCTGACTCTCAATAAAACCTATCCTGAGTCACTAGTACCACAAAAGATACGTAAAATTACTGTAAATTACACAGAGCACTATTATACAGTACAGTGGTACCCCGAGTTTCAGCCATAATTCATTCCAGAAGGCTGTTCGAGTGCCGTTACCGAACGAATTTGTTCCCATAAAGAATAATATCAATTAGATTAGTCCACTTCAAACCCCAAAAATACACTTACAAAAATACCCTTACATAACTGTTCGAGTTGGGAGCTGTACGAAAGTAGGGGTACAACTGTACAGTACTGTAGTACAATAGGTTACAATACCTGGCTGTCTTCTGCATCAGTCCATTACTTCAGAAGACAACCAGATGATCATAAAATATTAATAACATAACTCAAAAAGTTGTGGCATTATTGTACACCCTCTTTCCCCTCTTAGTCCCTTAATGAGAGGTTTTACTGTATATCAGCTGTCTCCCAAGGTGGGATGACCCAAAACAAGGAACACATTCACCCTTAATCATTAAATAGCTGTCTTGCCAGAAATATGCAGACATTACCATTCAAATGACCTCAACTGCAACATCTTCACCCTCCCGCCTTTCAGAGTGCTAGAACTGTACCTCCCGCCTTCATGACTTGGGTCAGGCTTTCTGGTTTTTCTCTAATCTCTTCACAAAAGTTACCTAGCTCACACTGGAACAGTACATCAAGTTATAAAAACCACTTGTCTGCATTCTGATCTCACAGGTTCACATACACCTGCTGGATGCTCAGACTTCTATCACTTAAAACTTTTTTCATACACCGTGTAATAATATGGAACAGCTAGAACCTAAAAAAAACTAAAACCCATTACAAAATAATTAATAAAAAATAATTGGTCCATAAGAAGCCACAATCTGGAGGAGCTGTAAAATCAGTGATATGCATGAGGGAGTGCATGAATATATTTACCTTGTAAGTTAGTCAAACTATTCAAAATTTACAGAAAATGCCCACACTAGGTACTCAAATCCAAAGTAAGCTTCACATACTGCACTATGTGAATAATGATAATTTCATAGTGTAATGATTACCAAGTCATGAATAAATGTAGCTGACCTATACAACAATATTATTTATGGCATGTAGGACTTCCAAAATCATGATTAAAACACCTTTCAGTGGCATGGGCTTAGCACATTTTTGTGAATATAATAATTACAATGCACATAAAGGGAATATTAATCTCTTTATAGGTACTTGATCCTTATGAAGGGAAACAAATTAGCCGAACTCTAGTCATAGAGGTGCAAGGTATAGTGCCTGCCTTCTGAGAATTGCTCCGTTTGTGGTGGAGTGTTAAATCTGTAGGGGTCATACAGCACCTGGGAAAATGTAGGACATTCAGGCATAATTTAAGGAATTAGAGCACATGTCTAATTCCTTAGATTAAGAGCCCCTCACCAGCATCAAGTAACCTCCCTTGAGGGGTCCCGTTCTACAGAAAGGGTAAGGATGTTGCAGTTCAGAGGGTCATTTGAATTGTGCTGTAAGTGCACTTCAAGCAAAACAGTTATTGAATGAATGATGGTAAATGTGGAAAACGGCCAATATATATATAAAAAAAAAAGTTACAAAGTACAAAGTTCTCAACGAAAATGGGGAGAAAACCTCAAAACTATGTCAACAGGAATAGTCTGAAAATAAGAAATGATTAGTACTGAAAGAAATACAAACTATGGAATTATATGCAAGACCCTTCAAGGAGGATGTAATGATGCTGAAGGTTCCTCAGTCCAAGAAATAGGAGCGACCCCTCCCTCTTCCTTCCTTGGATCAAACCTGATCACCCCCTAGACCCCAGGTGCTGATGACTCCCACTATGGGTTTAACACTTCCCCATGCATAAATACACATAAGCAGATATGGGTAGTAGGTTGGTAGACAGCAACCACCCAGGGAAGTACTACCGTCCTGCCAGATGACTGTGAAACAGAAACCTGTAACTGTTTTGCATGATGGTAGGATTGCTGGTTTCTTTTTCTGTCTCATAAACACGCTAGATAACAGGGATATCTTGCTACTCCTACTTACACTTTGGTCACACTTCACAGACACGCACATGCATATATATATACATACATCTAGGTTTTTCTCCTTTTTCTAAATAGCTCTTGTTCTTCTTTATTTCTTCTATTGTCCATGGGGAAGTGGAAAAGAATCTTTCCTCCGTAAGCCATGCGTGTCGTATGAGGCGACTAAAATGCCGGGAGCAATGGGCTAGTAACCCCTTCTCCTGTAGACATTTACTAAAAACGAGAAGAAAAACTTTATAAAACTGGGATGCTTGAATGTGTGTGGATGTAGTGCGGATGACAAGAAACAGATGATTGCTGATGTTATGAATGAAAAGAAGTTGGATGTCCTGGCCCTAAGCGAAACAAAGCTGAAGCGGGTAGGGGAGTTTCGGTGGGGGGAAATAAATGGGATTAAATCTGGAGTATCTGAGAGAGTTAGAGCAAAGGAAGGGGTAGCAGTAATGTTGAAGGATCAGTTATGGAAGGAGAAAAGAGAATATGAATGTGTAAATTCAAGAATTATGTGGATTATTTAAAGTAAAGGTTGGATGCGAAAAGTGGGTCATAATAAGCGTGTATGCACCTGGAGAAGAGAGAAATGTAGAGGAGAGAGAGAGATGAACAATAAAATGGTATAAAATACTGCAGGTTGTTAGGTAAGACACATATGCAACAGTTAGGTATCTTTATTTCGAAACGTTTCGCCTACACAGTAGGCTTCTTCAGTCGAGTAGAGAGAAGTTGATAGAAGCAGAAGAGACTTGAAGACGATGTAATCAGTCCTTCACTCTTAAAGTTTTGAGGTGGTCAGTCCCTCAGTCTGGAGAAGAGTATTGTTCCATTGTCTGAAACAATATTGTTTCAGACAATGGAACAATACTCTTCTCCAGACTGAGGGACTGACCACCTCAAAACTTTAAGGGTGATGGACTGATTACATCGTCTTCAAGTCTCTTCTGCTTCTATCAACTTCTCTCTACTCGACTGAAGAAGCCTACTGTGTAGGCGAAACGTTTCGAAATAAAGATACCTAACTGTTGCATGTGTGTCTTACCTAACAGAGAGATTTTGGGAGATGTTAAGTGAATGTATAGGAGCCTTTGAACCAAGTGAGAGAGTAATTGTGGTAGGGGATCTGAATGCTAAAGTAGGAGAAACTTTTAGAGAGGGTGTGGTAGGTAAGTTTGGGGTGCCAGGTGTAAATGATAATGGGAGCCCTTTGATTGAACTTTGTATAGAAAGGGGTTTAGTTATAGGTAATACATATTTTAAGAAAAAGAGGATAAATAAGTATACAAGATATGATGTAGGGCGAAATGACAGTAGTTTGTTGGATTATGTATTGGTAGATAAAAGACTGTTGAGTAGACTTCAGGATGTACATGTTTATAGAGGGGCCACAGATATATCAGATCACTTTCTAGTTGTAGCTACACTGAGAGTAAAAGGCAGATGGGATACAAGGAGAATAGAAGCATCAGGGAAGAGAGAGGTGAAGGTTTATAAACTAAAAGAGGAGGAAGTTAGGGTAAGATATAAACAGCTATTGGAGGATAGATGGGCTAATGAGAGCATAGGCAATGGGGTCGAAGAGGTATGGGGTAGGTTTAAAAATGTAGTGTTAGAGTGTTCAGCAGAAGTTTGTGGTTACAGAAAGTGGGTGTGGGAGGGAAGAGGAGTGATTGGTGGAATGATGATGTAAAGAGAGTAGTAAGGGAGAAAAAGTTAGCATATGAGAACTTTTTACAAAGTAGAAGCGATGCAAGGAGGGAAGAGTATATGGAGAAAAAGAGAGAGGTTAAGAGAGTGTTGAAGCAATGTAAAAAGAGAGCAAATGAGAGAGTGGGTGAGATGTTATCAACAAATTTTGTTGAAAATAAGAAAAAGTTTTGGAGTGAGATTAACAAGTTAAGGAAGCCTAGAGAACAAATGGATTTGTCAGTTAAAAATAGGAGAGGAGAGATATTAAATGGAGAGTTAGAGGTATTGGGAAGATGGAGGGAATATTTTGAGGAATTGTTAAATGTTGATGAAGATAGGGAAGCTGTGATTTTGTGTATAGGGCAAGGAGGAATAACATCTTGTAGGAGTGAGGAAGAGCCAGTTGTGAGTGTGGGGGAAGTTCGTGAGGCAGAAGGTAAAATGAAAGGGGGTAAGGCAGCCGGGATTCGTGGGATAAAGATAGAAATGTTAAAAGCAGGTGGGGATATAGTTTTGGAGTGGTTGGTGCAATTATTTAATAAATGTATGGAAGAGGGTAAGGTACCTAGGGATTGACAGAGAGCATGCATAGTTCCTTTGTATAAAGGCAAAGGGGACAAAAGAGAGTGCAAAAATTATAGGGGGATAAGTCTGTTGAGTATACCTGGAAAAGTGTATGTTTACCTGGAGTTTACCTGGAGAGAGTTCCGGGGGTCAACGCCCCTGCGGCCCAGTCTGTGACC